TTAAACAACGACAGTCTGTCTTTATCGTGTTTTCTTAATGGTCAAGTTTCTGCACCGTATAGCAGAACGGGCCGAACTGTCGTGGCATACACTCGACCCTTCACAGACAGCCGGATGTCGCGACGGCGCCACAGATGTCTCAAGTTGGAAAATGCCAACCGAGCTTTCTGTATGGGCGCCGACACTTTATCCATGATGCGTCCGCCAGGTGAGATATAGCTGCCCAAATAACAAAACTTATCCACCTGCTCTATTACTTCCACAGTTAGAGTGAGACTGGGTGCTGGACCAATCTTGTGGTAACATTTTATACTTTTACGGTGCAAAAAGCATACCAAACATGGCTACACTGGCGTTCAAGCTGCCCAAAAAAGCTTGTAGTGAACTCGGGTGAAAAAGTGCCGTAAAATCGGACTCGCCTTTCAATGTTTTTTTAAACAGGCAAACATTGTTACAAACGAACTTTACGTAGACTGGGATTTTGGTTTCCAATGTGAACATAAAAGACAACAGGAATCTTTTTTCTGGGATCCCTCGAATAATTCCCATCCATTACTGTGATTTTTATATTCAATGCTTATAGCTTGCATTCAAAGCAGCACTGATTCGTTCTGATTTGTCCGTCCAATTGGAACGGATTTCACAAGTCCCTTTTTAAAGGTCAAAAGTTTGATGAACTGTCAAATGCCAGTTCATCTTTACCTATCTTCAGTGACCAGATAGATCGACAACCGTCTGTCAAATACCCTGGCGTTATTTCCAGCCCTAACTTCACCTCATCTGATCACGTTAACGACATCTTTCTCAAGGCTAGGTTTTATGATACAGGTCTTGAATCACTTTCTATCCCAAATCATCTCATAAGGCGTTTTGTTTTCGCGTGCGTTTTGCCTCACTTGCTTTATGGGTCCCTTGGTATCTTCCCTGGTCTTTTGAACAAGGTCCTCAAACTCATTTCTGGATCCCTCAAATTTCTGTCGGTTTTTAGTCTCATATCACGGGAACATCTGGTATAGTTTGTGGTGACACATCACCTCCAGTCTTGTGAAACATTCTCCAACAAGATTTTATCTGATATTTCCCATTCTCTTTATTTCGCTTTCAGTCAGTGCTTTTCTCATTTATCCACCCGTATCTCGCAGATTATCACGGGCGATAAGCTATAAGTCTTTTACTGATGTCCATTAAACCTAATGTTAACTGTGTAAGAAATACCACGGTTTCATCTCAAAAGACTCGACCGTTTTGGTCGATCTATCGATCGATCCCGATCGGTCGAAAACCGGTCTTCAGTGCAAACAAGGAATGAACAGTTTGTGGACTGATTTTATCTCTCTGCGTGTGTGTCTATACTTCAACCAATTCATGGTGTTTTTTTTAAACGGACATTTGAGGAATGAACAAGCATTTAACTCACAGTTGATTGTGAATGGTGGTATCGAATAATTGATATTGATATTGAGCTGACTAACCCTAGGACTTCACCTACACGCTCACAATCCTCAGATCATCCAATAAACCAAAAAATCCCGTCAATGGTGATTCCGAGTGCTTCTGTGTGTTTGACAGGATGAACTGAGGATTTCAAAGGTGAATTTATCGTGTACAGAACAAATTAGGCGTGAACTGAAAACCTAGGAAGCGCAGAACAGCAGCTGTTTCGACCTGGTTGGGTCTCATCAGCAGTGCGAATCCATCTTGAAATAGGTAATCAGGTTGTGAATCTTATTAACCGAGTCATAATCGTGGAGGCTAGTACTGAGATGAGCAGGGTCTGTGGCCCACAACAAGCTCGCAAAGATGGGTTGTGCTATGTCGTGTAAATGGAAGATGAAAAACGATCTGATCAGCTGCCCTGTGACTGAGTGGGTAGCATGCTTGAGTTCTGCCTGTGATATCTCGGGTTCGATTCCCAGTTGGGTCGATAGATTCGCACTACTGATGAGATCCAACCAGGTCCCAACAGCTGTCCAATGCTTCCTATCTTTTCAGTTCACACTTCATTTGCTATATACACGATGAATTCACCTTTCGAATTGAAACAACTACTCCATTACTAACTTGGAACTGAGGATTGTGTGTGTGTGAAGATGAAGTCTGAAGGATAGTCTGTTCAAATCAATATATGCACTCTCAAAGCACCAGAGCTCAATTGTCAGTCACTTACCTTTGTGCTCCACACCGCTTGCCCACGGCAACCATCACTCTACCAAAACGTTCATTCGTAGTTTTTGAAAAAGTTTTGAAATGTTCTTGAAAATGAATCACTGCAATCATAATCTGTTGACTACTTCACATTCGTATTCATGTCGCGAATAAGTGCTCACGATTAATTACGATGAACAAGTATTTTTTACGTCAGTTCACTTTTTTATTTTACGATAAATAGAACGAAAGTTGGGCACGTACCATTCATTTTGTTTACAAGACATATATTACGGGAATTTTCCAACCTGGAACGAAATTCGGGTTTCGTTAGACTGGTACAGGAAGAACAAAACGAATGTCGAAAAATCTCATTGTGGATAAATAAGTTCCACCTCTTTGTGTTTTGTCACCAACTTACCATTCTGAATAACAGACAATGGCAAACAAGGTGAGGTTTCCAGTGAGTACCCACTTCAAGGGCTCTGTCTTTAATCAAGGCTGTGGCTGATCCGTGACCTTGAAGTTTGGCGAACTGGAGTATTTTTCAACCGGAGGAAGAGAGTATCTTTAGTTCACTCAGCACGACGCAATAGAGACAAAAATGCTCATTAGTCAGTCTCTGGCGTTTTTAACATGATGGTACCTACTACAAAATGTGATATGAGTTGGGTTCGATTTTCGTGAAAGCAATAGTTAAAAAACTCTACGCATAAGTTTGCAAAACTGAATTGCTAACTTTCATTGGTAAGTAGCCATCACCGATTTAGCACCTTCGTTTTACTCCGTGCCCGATCGGGGGACACTGTCACACAACTGATTGATACGATTCACTTTAGAGTTCAGTCTGATTCGTCAATTGTTTGCATGGTCTGCAGTCACGGCGGTCCCGTAGACGTACTTGGACTTGTCGCTATGACGGCGCGTTCGGTTTGTGTCCTGAAGGGCACAACAAAAGTATACGCTACCTCATTTTCGCCTCGGAATTCTCTAATGAAACGATCAAATGTACCACATAACACGGCATCAGTGTGCCCCTAAATGACCAAGTGTCTCAAATAGACTCGGCTCAAGAAGCCCTTTACACTGCCTTCTCATGATGGATGTGTTATCCTACCAAAGTGAGAGGATGAAAAGCCGAATTCCGAGTTGGTGAACCACTGGCACTGCCTTATAGTGAGAACGAAAATCCGACATCCGGGGCTATAACCGGGTTTGCGGACCACTGGTAGTTCACCTATGGGAGTTAGCCCAAAACTCTGATCACAAACCAACCAACATAA